CTGAAAGCTCCGGGGTCTCCAAGAGGCAGAATTCCACCCTGCTCTCAGCCAGCCACCTTCTCCACAGCGAAATGTTACCGTGTTCCTTGGGATTTTGTTGGTGTGACGTTTAAATTTGTGTGTTCTTGAAAGTCCTCCTCAATTTCAGCTCTTTCTGCTACACCTCTGAAAATCCAGCCCACTGAGGAAGGCATCAAAATCTACACTGATGTGAAGTATTTCACAGACTACATGAAAACAACCTGGTATCACAAGTGAGTCCCAAAAAAAATATTTGCAAAGCTCTTCTGGAACTCTGTTTCTTGTAACTGTTTATCCAAAATTAAACAGCTGGGCCCATTTAAGGCAACTGCAGATTTGTCTGAGTAAGGGCTGAAAACCACAATTCACTCTCATCCTGCAACATGTCTTGGAATTCCAGAATGAGCAGTCCTGTGATTTTTATCTTAGCACTGCAGAAATATTTATAAGTGATTATCTTTACTAGAATAATAATGATGCCCTTACAATACTGCTCAGTTACAGCCTCCTTGGTTACAGACAGGGTTTTTTCCAAACACTTTATTTCTACTACTCTTTTCCTAAACCACTCTATTCCCCCACTCTGAATAACAAATATTCCCAAACACTATAAAATTCTTCCCAAACACTGGCTAATTTAGCCTCGTAATGTCTTTATAAATAGAGAAATGGTGTTTTATTAGACACCACCTTCACACATATATAAGGAGGCCAATTTTTAATAATGTTTAAGGGCTAAATGCTTACAAATATTCAACACGTAAATGCTATTTAATCTCCTAAATAAGGTCTTTTTTAAGTTTGTAAAGCTCTGGCAAACTGCCTAAAATCCCATGCCCCATGGGATTTCCACAAGTGACTAAGTACAAAACTCTCCCTGAAGTGAATCCTGACTCCCACACTTCCAACCAGCACAGGTCTAAAAAAAGTTAATGCTCTAATTTATCCAGCTCCACCAAATACTAATGAGGTGATGTGTTTGCTTAGGGATAAACAACTAGAAAGCCGTGACAGGATGAAAGCTGGGAGCACCATGAATCGGATCTGGCTCCACATCCTGAACCCCACGGATGCTGATAAGGGAAAATACACCCTGGAGTTATTTGATGGGAACAAGTCCCACAAACTGTCAACAGACCTGTCTGGGCAAGGTGAGCTGAGTCAAACCATCCCAGGAATGAGAAATACCTGAGCTGCTTTCCAAGAGTCCTCCAAAGCCAGGGCAGGGATTCCTTTCTCCTTTGTCTGAGCTGGAGCTTCAAACTGTTGGAGATTTTTTTCCCCCCTCTGAACTTCTCTTTGGAAAGGTCCCACTTATTTCAACAGGATAGAAATAGAGCCATATTTCCCTAAGGCAGGCAGAGACACCATCTAGATGATAATTACATTTATCTGTGTGATCCCAACACTGAGGCATTATGATAAATTTACTGAGTCAAAAAAAACCCAAACAGCAACTCTCCCTAAAACCTTTCATTCTTGCAGCCTTTGAAGACGCCCTGGCTGAGCACAGAAGGCTAAAGTAAGTTCCTGCCTAAGTGTTTTCACAGCTAAATCTATTTTGAGTGTCATACTCTAAATTGAGAATACAATGGCTAATAAATAAAACCACAATCATTTTCTCTCACTTGCAGGGAAGCAGCAATAGCAGAAAAGCGTAAGTAAATTAATTTCTTTCCTTCAGTAAAATAAAGCCAAGTGGTTTGCTGATAAGAAAATCTAAAAGGTCGTATTTGTTCACTCCCAGGTCGTGCCAGAGTTGTTCAAGGTCTGCCAGATGTTGCCACCATCATGGAGGATAAGGTAATATTGAGTAACTTCGTTAATTGGCCCTTGCACAGACACAGAAGAATCACTGATGGGGAGGAAAACTGCTTGTTTTCCCCTCCTGTACATTCCCAGCAGTTTTTCTGAGCTCCTGCATTTGCCAGGGGTGAGAAGTGGGAACCCCCCCAGCTCATTTTCACAGCCAGATCCTTTCTGTTGTCTCCCCATTTCATAGGATTAGACTTTTAAGGCCTTTAAGTGCTGGACCTGAATTTCCCATCATACCAACTCCCTGTTTACATTTCTGAGTCACATTCCCCTTTACACAGGCAGAACAAAAACCCTGTGCAATAACTGCAAATTCATCATGTGCCTGTTTAAGTGTGACTTTACAGCATAAGAAGCTATAAAAAGGCAGTAGCACAAATACAAGTCAGGCCCAGTGGATTCAGGCAGGTTAATCCTGATTATACCAGAAGATACCAGAAAAAGGAGTGGCAGTCTGGGAATGTCACCTGTGGAAAATGAGAGGATTGATTTTTATTTTTCTTTTTGTTATTTAAAAGCCATGTGGATGTGGCTTTTGGGGGCATGGTTTACTGGTGGCCTTGGCAGTGCTGGGGTAAGGGTTGGACTCGATGGTCTTATTTCCAACCTAAATGATTGGGATTCTATGAACTGAATTTCCTTGCATGTTTATAACTTCATAATCTGTCTCTGCTCTCTTGTTTTACAACAGACCCTGTGTTTAACTTGCTGTGTTTCTGGAGATCCTTACCCAGAAATCACTTGGTTCAAAAACGAGAAGGTTATTGTGTTCAAAGACCGGTACAAGATGGATGTGAAGGGTTCAGTGGTGACAATCACCATAGAGAAAGTCTGCAATGAAGACACAGGAAAATACAGCATTTATGTCAAGAATAAATATGGGTCTGAAACAGGGCAGGTCACTATCAGTGTCTATAAACACGGAGAGATCCCGATAGGAACGGAGCAGGAAGTCCCAGCTGGGATCAGGATGAAAAAGCCTAAATGAATTAGTTAATTATGTCCCCTTGAATTTAGAAGGAATTTAACTCCTTTCAGTGTCTCTGCCCTAAAATTCAGGCTCGTGTCTCTATGTTTATTTTAGAAATATTTCAGTGTTTTTATTTTGGTAGTTGAACTCTGTGTGGGAAATACCAGAGGATTCACACGTGAGAACCAGGTTTTTGGTGGAGGTTTTTTGTATTAAATCACTATGTGTTATGGATTTTCTTGTAGCTGACAAATGCTAATGTGTGTGTCATTAAACTTCAACCCTTGGTGACATCTCAGCACTGCTGTTGAGTATATCCATGATGAAATCAGTCAGTGTGTGTGTGGGAAGTCAGGACACACTCCACACATAAAACCAGCCTTATTCCCTAGCACTACTTCATCCTTGCTACTCAGGGATTCTATCCTGTAAATGTAACTATAAAACTGGCTCTTTGTGTGTGAATTTTCTTTAAAACTTACTAAAAGGGAGGTTGAGAATTTCTAAGAAGAAGTTCAGTGTTGGTTTTCTATTTAAATAGAAGAATTACTGACAGGTATGAACTCAGAGAGGTCACCCACCCCTGGGATACAGGCTCTGTTTGAATTAAGCAATATAACTGCAAGACACATAATCTACTGAATGCCTTCCAAAATCAACAGTCACACCTGCACAGACAGCAAGGAATATCATTTGAGGGCTGTAATGAGTGAGAATTCCTGGTGCAGCTGGTGAGAAGAAAAAATAACACATCGTGTTCACTTCCTGCATTCACTCTCCAAGCAATGTTCCATGTTTTATTTTACCTTTTGTCTTCTATGTTCGCAGTGCTTGTTGAAAAACAGCAATAATAAACTGAATTTAATTCAGATTTAGATGCACATTACTGACATCTACTGGATAGAGTCATAACTGATGTCCCACTCTAACATGATTTTCCCTGATCTCAAGCAATTGGAGACCCACAATTTTGGAAGAAATAGCTGTGGATTTTATTAATTCACTATTTGCCATTTAAGGTTCAAGTGAATATTGTGATAATTAGGAAGTTCCTGCAGTGCAACAGTAATTACCTCAGCCTATCGTAAAGTATGGCATTTTATCTGAAGAATTCCATTCAAAACACAGTAAAATGTATAAAAGAGAGAAGCTGTGAACTAAAAAAATACAAATGAAGCTATGCACCACTTTACAACAATCATGGCTAATTAGAAGTGGGGTCAGTGACCCACAACACCCCAAACGTCAAGGTGAGGCTTTCCACAGAGCAGAACGAACTAGAGGTTATGATCATTAAGAACAAATAAATGATTAATAATTGTCATTTCCCAGTTAATAATTAGCCACCTGACAATTTGGGCTGGCCTGTCCCCTTCCATAAATAGCACCCCAGTGAGCAGGGAGAGCCCTCGCCCCGTGTCACACGATGGCCTTCGCTGGGACCTGGCAGGTCTACGCTCAGGAGAACCTCGAGCCCTTTCTCAAAGCTCTGGGTAAGTGCCTGGTTCCTCCTGACATCATTTGCACCACACATTTTGCATCACAGCTTTCGGGGGGTTTTGACTTTTTTTCCCCCACTGCCTGGTTAAGACTGTTATATCTAATTTGGACATGAAAAGAAGCTGAGAATCATCAAAATTGATGTAGAAGGGCTACAGATAACAGTCAAATTCCTATTTTGATGTTAGGTGAGTTCCTCAAGAAAGAAGAGCTATGCTAGAGATGAACTTGTGTTTATTAACATATAACTTTATAAATACATTTAACTAGAAATAAGCTGTTGATGACGTGTTCAGCTGCCCAAAGTGCTACTGGTGCTCAGGCCCTTTCTGCAGTTAATCACCAGTGATTAACTTATGTGATAGCTGGTCAGGAATTGTGTGTGATTACCATGTGTGAAGCTGGTTAGTGATCTGTGAGTGATTAACGTGTCAGTAATCTGTGAGGAATCCACTCATGGTTATGATTGAAAGGTGCTACTTCAACAAAAATGCACTTACCTTCTTGACAATCCCAAAAAAACCTTCCCGTTGGTGTTTTTAAGAGGATGTAAGGGATATTCAGGAGAGTAAAATTCAGTTCCAGTAAAGAGCCCAGTCTGACAGTATGGTGCCTGAACCAGCCCCTCTCCTGTTAACTGTGACACCCTCAAATCACACCAGGGAACCCCAGTAAGGGAGTCTGAGGTACTCACACTGTTGCAGCTCTGTCTAGGCAGATCCACCTCCAATCTCCCTGGGAAAACAACAATACACACAGTTTTTGTCACTGAGAAATGTCCTCATGTAGCCAGATGTTACTGACAGAAACAACGCATATTCTGACACACCATCAACAAACACAGTGTCAAAATCTATCCAGACTAGAAGGAATGGAGCCAAATGCCCACAGGGGAGTGAGGAATCCACAACAGGATTTGTTTTTTAACTTAGACATCACTTTCTATGATTGGTTTGTACCTTTTGTGCCTTTACTGGAGAAAAGAATTGGCTGTTTCCTATCAACACAACCGCTCCATAACGGAAAAAGTCCCGTTTTGCCTGTTTTTACAGGGTTGCCAGATGACATCATCAAAGTGGCCAAAGACATTAAGCCTGTCGTGGAAATACAGCAAAAAGGAAATGACTTTGTTGTGACATCAAAAACACCCAAGCAATCTGTAACTAACTCCTTCACCCTGGGCAAAGAGGCCGACATCACCACCATGGATGGCAGGAAGCTGAAGGTAATGGATTCAGGAATGGGGCTCCTCTTTCTTCACCCCTGTGCTTCAGTTTCTGCAAACATTTCTATCCCTTCAACCAGCAGAAATGTGTCTTCTAAAACTGCCATTCCAATGCCCTGGTCTCCCGTTTAAATCAGCAGATGTGAATAGGGAACATCAGTATGGTTTGTTTTCTATTTGCTAGTCCTGTACTGATTCTAATCGAGTTCCAAAATCTGTGTTCCAACAGTGCACTGTGAACTTGGTCAACGGGAAGCTTGTGTGCAAATCAGATAAATTCTCTCACGAGCAAGAAGTTAAAGGAAATGAAATGGTGGAGGTAAGTGTTAGAAAATAACACAATTAAGAACATTGAGGAAAATGCTGATGGAAAACAGGTTGATTAGCTCTTAGTGTAGGCTCAAAATCCTGGCCCCAAAATCACATTACTTGCAGAATTCCTACACGTGCAAGTACAGAATTTAAACATATCAAACCAACCAGATAGTGGAAAACACTATTAGTATTCTTTATTATTCATTTTTCTTATTAAGCCCAATGCAGATGATTCTCCTTTAGATATTGCTCATATATTTAACACATCCTGCTCAACAAATCCCTTTATTAATTACTACCATGGGGCCAACTCCAGGCACTGAAGTGTGAAGGGTTTTAGCTGCTGAGCTGCAGGAAGGCTCCTTATAAATTCCCTGGATTACCACAGCAGTGTGTCCCCCCAGCTCTGGCTCCAGCAGCACCTCTGAAAGGACAGTAAGGGCTGAGTCAAACCTGAACATTCACAGTGCCCTCGTTCCACCTCAATTCTTCAAAGTTCTTCAGCTCTAAATTATTTAGTGCTGACAAAGAGCTTTGCTCTACAGTGAAGCTCGTTGGGCTTCTATGAAGTGTCCCCTTACGTAAAGATGGATCCAAGGAGCACAACTAATTCCATAAAAGTTATATGGTTTGGACACACAATTTCCTCAGGTCTTAGAGGGTATAAGGTCCAAAGGAATATAATAACATCTGAGTTAGAAAACTACTTTTCTAACATTAAGTAAGCAAGATAGCAATAGAATGGGGTTGATGAAGGCATTTATATTTAGATTTTCTGTCTTCAGGTCTGGTACTGTAAACATTTTTCCCTGGTATGAATGTTATATTTATAGGCAGGTGTTGTGACTGTATTTTCCTGTGGACTAAGATGGATTTATACATGAATTACAGAAATGTCACTTAGCTACAAATAGATTTCCTAAAGTCTAAGTGAAAAACAAATTATGTATATTTGTCTTCTACAGACTATAACATCTGGTGGAGTAACACTGGTCAGAAGAAGCAAGAAAGTTTAAAGACAGACCATCTCTTTTGTGATATCTCTACATACCTAAAATAAAGTGCACTTTCCACAAAGTGTGATCTTTGTTATCTGAAAAAACAGCACAGGAAATAATTATGATTTCTGCTCTCCTTTCACACCTGCATCACTTCCCATTATTATAGGACTGTTTTCCCTGAGTGCTCTCACAGATCCCTTCTGTACTCAGTGACAAATTTTGCCTCCCAGACAACCAAACCTGGACAAAAAAATCATGATGTTCCAGTTAATCACAATAATAGTTGGGAGCAGACAAAAGCTATATAAATGCTTCTTGATTTCTTACATACTCACCAAACATATTCAGCTTTAGTTCCTGTGTTTAATAAAGTTTAGTCTTCTACTAAACCACTTTCTCTATAACCTGGCCAGCAAAGAACAAGCAGACATTTGTGGAGCTGATCTGCACCACATGTCACAGGAATGGAAACAGTGGTATTTTAAAAGCTCTGATGTATTTAACAGTCATTAACAATTACAAAGTAATAATAGGGTGGCTGTTCCTATTCTGAACTGCATATGAGTACAATTAACAAAAAAAATGAGGCACTACAAGAGCAAAGAGAATTAAAAATTCTTTCTGTTTGCAACGAACTCCCAGGATCTTGTCACAGTCCCAGTTTGGGAAGCTCAAGTAAACCAGACTGTTTTGTTCAGACTCTGTGTCTCTACTGAAGTATAAAACGCACAGGACCTGTGCCTAGAACCATCTCTCTGTTCCCTGCTGAGCAGCTCCTACTATTATATCAGCAGCCCCATTTCATACTTATACAAGCCACTGCAGATTTCTTACAGTTGGTCTCGGGTGTAAGATCTCCATGAAAAAAAGCTCCTGGACTGATTATGCCATTTCAAAGCCTCATGGAGACGTTCCATTCCAATTAAGAGTGCTGAGTGTACATGTTCCTGTGCTAGAAGAGCAGTTTGTGAGGGGGAGGCTGTGTTTTAGTTAGTAACACTTACAGTGGGGTACAAGCAACTTGGGAAGTGTATTCTTATTCTGGGATAAGGCTGTTCTCATGGGGAGTGTTACTGGCATAAAGGATCATTGTGTTCATTTTGCTTCCCAGGCAGTTCTAATGCTAAGTAGACTCTTGCAGCCAGAATTAAATTCCATGGGAGAGTTGCACAGAAATAAGATCAACAGCAGAGAAATCAAGGCTGGTAGAACTCAGGGAGGAGGAGGAGGCTGCTCTAAAGCACCAGAGCTGCAAAAAGCCATCCAAGAGCTCGCCACCATTGTTTGGGAGTTGCTGGGTAACTGCTGCAAACTACACCCTGAAACCAAACACACAATGTGGTTTTCCAACAGTAACTTCACAGAACACTGATCAAAAGCTGTATCTGTAAATGTAGGATGGAAAATACGAGACATTTCGGGTTGATTTCTAAACCAATGCAGAGATCATTCATTACTCATTTAAAGCTTGTTACAGTACAACAGGGATTTGCTTTGATGACATTAAAGCAAAATGTGTATATGTGTGTTCGCTTTGAAAAGAAACATGAAGGTGTTATTTTGGTTCAGTACCTACCTAAATATTCCCAGCACACTTGACACAATCTGGCAAACTCACATCTATTCAACCTCAATCAGTGACAACTGGAACACAAAAGTGATTTATCAAGTTATAGATTGTAGATACTACACACTAAAAACACACTAATCCTGTTTAGAACTTTAACTGATATTAAGCCATTTTAATTTTAATCTACTAAAAATTCAGAGACCCCCATCTCTTTTCTGCAGAATCCTGAACAGACCACTGAGTGTATAACCACCATAAACTCCTCTTTTTTTTTTTTTGGAAGAGTTGTGTATATAGCTGACACACATCTCCTGTGTGTGTGATTGAACTTCATTTGTCATTCAAAAACTGTAAAACCCATGCAATTCTGAGCGTGAGATTGCCAGGATATGAACAGCAATGTCCACCCACCAGTTTTCATTCATGAATATTAAAGAAAAAAGTGAAAATCCACTAGTGGCAGACATCAGGGCTGCAACAACTCCAAGCCTTTCAGTCCCAGCAGCAGTTTGCTGAAAATCCCTCACATGAAATGCAAACACACTTCATTGAACCCTTCATCAAATCTTGTGACAGTTTGGTCACAGATCTGCCATTTCTCCTCCTGTATGTGGTGAGTCACATGAGGGTGGTAAGAAATAATATCTGATTTCAGCACAGTTGCTGTCTTTATTAGTTTCTTCCTTATCTTGGGAGTTCTGCCAGATGTCCTTGTGGCCCATAAATTCAGCATTCCTTGCGTCCACTATCAGTGGTACATCCTTCTCGCCAAGCTCTGTTAACCTCCCCCTAAGTCTGAGATCATTGAAGTATGTCCAGCCCTAAATCTTAACAAGGCAATTCTGCCAACAATTAATTTGGGGTTTTTTGGCACATGGAGCTGCTCTGTTTCAGATTAAATCTCCCTTTTTTGTTTCAGATTAAATCTCCCTTTTTGCTGATTAGGCATGAAAGTATACGAAGACCAAACATAAAAGAACATCCCTTTCTAAGAAAATTTTTACATATTACAGAATCACAGAATTAACTAGGTTGGAAAAGACCTCTGAGATCGTGGAGTCCAACCTTTGACCTAACACCACCTTACCTACTAGACCATAGCTCTGAGTGCCACATCCAGCCTCTTAAACAAGTCGAGGGATGGTGAATCCTCCATCTAGATGGGCAGCCCATTGCAATGTCTGATGACTCTCCCCGCAAAGAATTTCTTCTACATTTTGCAACAGTACAATAAAAACTCCCGGGGCTCACTGTGGGTAACGGGGGCCAGAGAACTGCAATCCTTTGCGCCTCAGGAAGTGGCTCAAGGGGAGCTCAAGTGGCTCAAGAGTGAGGGAAGAGGGCTGTGGGTTGAAGCTGTCACAGTTTGTGGTGGAGTACACAGGAAGACATATTACAGGAGTACACAGGAGCACACATGAGTGCACAGGAGTCCACTGGAGTACACAGTCTCAGTTTGCTGTGCACAGGAGTATACAGAGGAGTACATATATTACAGGAGCACCAGGGAGCACACAGGAGTACACATGAGCGCACAGGAGGGGGCCATGGCGCCCTGAGGCAGCTGCGTGAGGCGGGAGCCCCCTCTCCCCTCACGGGTGGGCTCCGCCGCCATCTTGCCCTCACCCCCACCTCTCCTCCTTTTCGGCGGGAAAAGCGAGCGCTCGTGGCCCGGCGCGCGGGGAACGTACTGCGCACGCGCGGCGCGCGCCGAGGCGCGGGACCGCGCGCTCCCGCTCGTGGCGAAGGGGGAGATCGAGTTCGGCGCATGCGCGGAGCGGCCCCCACCGAGGGAGAGGGGGCAGGTTTTGGCGCCGCGCTCCGCTCTCGCCGGAAGCCCCCGCGCGCGCGGGAAGTCTCGCGAGAGGCGGCGCGCGGGCGGGCGGGCGGTGCAGCTCCCCTCAGGTCGCCTCAGCCGCTCCCGCCGCGCCCGGGCCGCGCCGCCCTCCCTCCTTCCCTCCTTCCTCCCCCTCACCGCCGACGCCGACATGTCCCGCTACCTGCGGCCCCCCAACACCTCGCTCTTCGTGCGGAACGTGGCCGACGACACCCGGTGAGTGGGGGCGGAGCGGGGGCTCGCGCAGGCTTTGGCGGGCTCGCTAGGCCGCGCGCGCGGGGGTCCCCCCGCGGCGAGCCCGGCCCGCTCTCTCTCTCCCCCCGCATTCCTGTCTCCCTCCCTCCTCTCTCCCTGCCGTCCATTTCGCTGCGCTCCTCACGGTGCTGCCCGTTCCCCGCCTTCTCCACGAGGATCCCGTTTTCCCAAACAGCGCCTTCCAGAACAAAGCTGGGCCGCGAGAAAGTGGAGACTCCCGCACCCGCCGCTGAGCGGGAGATTCCAAGCGGGATGTTGCCCCGCTGAAGCTGGGAATGCTCTTCTTGAAAAAGCAGCGTTGTAGTTAGATTGTGAGAAAATAGCGCGTTTATGCCCCAAAATGCCTGGCGTGGCCGGTTCCGTTAGTGCGGGAACCGCAGCCGGTTCAGGTGGAATGTTCCTGCGTTAAATGCTCAGGACGGAGCAGGGGAAGCGGCGCTTGTTCTCCGTTATAACCGCGTTGTAGCGAGACCCCGTGAGGACTAAGAACGTGCAGTGAGAGAACTCCTCACGGAGAATTAAAATAATCTCGAAGTGCGCATCACACGGGTTCTTATTTAGGTGTTTTCAGTAAGCTGCTATTTTCTCCATTCCTCTTTTGCAGTTTATCGTGTTTCTTTAGTGTTGTCAGTTGTGGGACATTTATAGAGCATTTTGGTGCGGAGGGCCCGTGTCAGAGCACTCGTGTGTTGTTGATTTTTTTGTAGAATTTTTATAGAAGTCCCTTGCGAGATATAATTCTACAAAATGCAACTTTTCCAACTCTCTGCCTGGACGACTTGTATCAAAGTTGCTCAGCAAATAACAGCAGCGTGGGCACGGTGGAATGGAATGAATTAGGAACCTTGTGATTAAAAGTGTAAATAGCTTCAAAATAATTTTTTTCTTTTTTTTTTTTCTGCATGAATTTTCTCTTTCCAGTCGTTTAATTTACTGTAAGAACAGATGAGGAGGACGATTCTTTAAAATTCTTTAAAATTATGTGGATCCTTTTGAGGCTTCACCATAAGCTTGTGATTAGGTAGCTCAGTGTTCCTGGAGATCGTTTCATTGTGAGGTCTCAGTGCTGGTTGTTGTAGTTCCCTTCTGCCAGCACTGACTGTGTGGAGATTTGTTTCGCAACTGATGAGAAAGAGAAGTGTAAAAATACTAAAAAAACAGTAGTAACTCACTATACCCTCTAAATATGGTATTATATTAGTCTTTCTCATACAGGTTTTTGTCCTCATATGTCACAAAAATACATGTAAAGAAGCTGATGTGATTAAGAAACCTCTCTGTTGAGGACAGAGTGGTTGTTCCAGGGATAGTTGCACTTGGACGGTTTTGTCCCAGATCTCTAAAGCCAATTCCTTGGAAAAACTGTCCTGAGGGCATGAGTAGTTGCTCACTCGAGATCTGTTCTATTTGATGTGGTTGTAAGTATTGATTATTCTATGCAAATGAGTTTGGGTGACTGGTTCATTCTTGTAATGTTTATTTGGATCTTATAATTGATGTTTGGGTGTTGCAAAATGACTGTTGAGCTACTTGAGGTACTTGAATAATAATAATAATAGTTCTTAACAGTCCTTTTTTTCCCTGCTTTCTGCCCACCTTTGCTGGTACCTCCTGCTTTGAATTAACTGATGTGCATCACTCCTCAGCTGATACTTCTTTGAGTTATGCTGAAGGCTGGTTTCCAACTGCCAGGGTATATCCTGAGCATCCCGAGCCTTGAGTGATTCAGAGAATCCCAGTGTTCCCCCAACGCTGAATTGCTCAAACAATGTTTTGCTACTTTCCTCCTCTCCCAACTGCTTCCAAAAACCAGAGTTGGTCTTACTGATTGTAGGTTTTTATTTTTATTTTTTTTTTAAATTTGGTGGATGTTTCGTAACACTTTAAACAGTGAAAAAAACCATATAAGCTGTTTGTGATGTTCCAGGTCTGAAGATTTGCGCCGTGAATTTGGTCGTTATGGGCCTATAGTTGATGTTTACGTTCCACTTGACTTCTACACTCGCCGTCCCAGAGGATTTGCTTATGTTCAATATCCTTTCTTCAGATGGCTCATTAGTGAGGGGTGTTGAAGTTTGAAATTCAAGTTTGTGTAAGAGGTAACCAATCTAAATGAAAAAGCAGTTTACTTTTGTGTTGTATCTAATAAGTGTCTTACTTATGTCGTGGTGTTTCGTTATTTTTGAAGATTAACTTCTCTCAATTGTTCTTTGCCTTTTTTGCAAAACTTAAATCAAGTCCAGTAATATAAAAGCTTGCTTATGTCACTGAAATTAATATTATATGATTTAAATGCAAATTTATCACTGACTCAAAATTGTCTGCCACGTTTTAATTATCACTGGTGTGTAAGTAAAGTTGTGCTTAGCAAAATGTGGCTGGTATTCCAATATAATATATTGTTAATTTAACAAATGGAAACTGGAATCACTTGATCAAAATCAGATTGTATAAAAAATTAGGTGAACTTCTTTCTTTAATATTGTCCCCTAATTTGCTGTCCTCTGTTGTTGCCTCAGAATGTAAAGCTGTACAGTAATGGCGACCCCAAAGAGAAAGCATGAAAGAACCTTTAGAGTAGAGTTCAACAATTAAGGCAAGTAGACAAGCCAAAGACCTCTTAAGGATCAGGCTTGAAGAGAAGGGAGAGTTTGGGAAAAGAAAAAATAAAGAAAAGCTGGAAGAAGGACAAGCCATAATGGGAGACAAAGCTTCGCTTTATCTACAAAAGGGGGAAAAGGTTGTTTTTCAAAGTAAAAGATAAAGCCATCTGTCATTTTTGGCCAAGCATCTCATGACAAGTCCTTCTGACAAGCACTTAAAGAGTTAAAGGTCAAGATGAAGTTGAATGGTGGCCAAGATTAAAGGAGTCATACCTGATGTATCCTACAGAATAACAGTTTTTCTTCTGTCTGTCATGTAAGCAGTGATTTGATGAATTATTCTGGTTTAGTCCATTGACAAAACCTGTAATATTTCTCTTGTGAGTGCTCCTGTAACTGTGGTCTGAATGAAATGGGGTTTATCGAGGGAGATGCTACAGCAGGGCAGTTTATCTTCTGCAGAGCTGATGCTGCTGAGAACTGAGTTGCCTCGAGGAGAAGGGAACTCGTGATTTTGGGTCCCGTAGCTGGAGCAGGTGCACGAATTGCAGCATGAGAATGAATGTGTGACCCTGCTCGTTGGCCCTGCCTGACAGTGCAGGGCTGGCAGGGTCTGCTCTTACCTCAGCCTGGGCAAGGTCTGTACACACATCAATTTAAAACCACTTTGGTAAAGCTTTATCCCAGTTCTAACGTTGATATTTACTGTTGGTACGTCCAACATAATTTAGGAATAGGGTTTAATTTTAATAAACTCAGTGCAGTGAAGAGAACTAAATGACCATTAATAAGTGTATTTGGAAAAGGATACCTTTATTTTCTTTGCATAAGTACAAGTGGGAGAAGAGAAAAGTTAGAGTATCACATAGCAACTGCTTGCTGATGGATAAGTTCTGGTCATATTATGAGAGTTTAATTTTATTACAGGAGTTCTCAGCTGGTGGTTAATTAAAAAAAATAATTCACTAGTGCGTAGCGTAGCATGACAAAAGAACTTGAAAAAAAGCCGCCTGTAAAATTAGAAAATAACTGACTTTTATTTTTATTTTAAATACCAAATGTGTAAACTGCTCAAATTCCCAAGTACCTTAACACTCCCCACATTCGAAGATGTCCGTGATGCAGAGGATGCTCTCCATAATTTGGATCGAAAGTGGATTTGTGGAAGGCAAATAGAAATCCAGTTTGCACAGGGGGATCGGAAGAGTAAGTGCCTTGTGTGTGTAACATCACACTGTGATTTTGCCCTTAATTTTAGCACCAGACAGCATTCCATGTGTTACTGGTTGTTCTGATATGTTCTGACTTGTATATAAATAGCATGTGGATGTTTTGCTTTTCATCCAGTAACTATTAATGACTCGTTTTAGTTACAAACAGATAACTAAGTGCAACAGTCACTTGCCACAGTCATTCTTAGGAGCATTCTGGGCAGTTCTCTGTTATTCCCAGGATTCAGGTAACGTGTTCATTTCCATTTGGTTTCAGGATAAAAGTAAATTTCAAGGTGTCTCAGTTCACCAGGGAACAGAATCCTGCTTTTCTGAACAGATAACTGTAAAGGAAACTGAGGTCTTCTAAATCTGTTTTTTCTGTACATAGTCTTAATTTGCAGGGAGGTACAGATAGTATATAAAACCAAAACATGCTCTTGGTAAACCTGGCACAAACCTGCTGATCTAAACCAGGACTGTAATACTTGTGTGCTGCTTGGGAATAAAAGTACCTGAAAGATCTTTAGTTACAGCTCTCAGAGAAACAACCTGACTGTCCAGTTTTCCCTCAAATACACACAATTAACTTTTATTGAAGTCAATGGAAATTTTACACTCTAAAGGACAAGTTTCTGTCCTGCGTATAAACACTGGGATTTCTAATAAGCTTCTGAACAACATTAACTAAGTCTCCCTTAGTGTTGTAAGCAGCAGCACTTAAGCATAATAATTAAAGGCATTTAGTACA